CTCACATTATAGCTATCTTTTTCACAAACAATTTTTATTGAAGCTGATCCGGAGGTAGCACGGAGACCACTGAACGGAAGATTGGGAGACTGGAAATTTGCCGGATGTATCTCTAGACGAGAGATAAATATTGGGCCATATATATTAAAGAGCTATGTAAAAAAAAAAAAGGCCTCAGATTGAACAAAATCTGGCCCAATATCTAAATATCAAATTTAACAAATTTTAAATTTATTAAAGTGATTAAGATTTCATAATTTTCTAAATCATGCGAATCAATCATTCCGTTAAACAAAAAAAAATCAATAGATTTGTTTGTAACAAACACGATATTTTGGTCCTCTACGTTATGCATGCAGGAATTGATATTTTAGCCCAATCGAATTTTCACAGAAGAAAGGATTTTTGTAACAAACAATTTTTGTACTAGAATATTCTAATACATATTCTAATAAAATCACAAAATATAGATTTTTAAATAAAATCACTTAATTATTTGAAATATGGTTACAATATCTAATAAAATCACAAAATAATCTCTAATAAAATCTAACCAAATCTACCGTCTTCTAACTTTCACTATAAATATGGTTGATCATCACAATAATAAGCTTCACATCAAATGAAAAACAAAAAATCAAAACTCAAATCCTTGTCTTTTATCAAAATAAAAAAGCTCAAATCTTTGTGTTCTAGAAATCATTTATGTCCATTGAAAATTCCATAGAAATGGTTTTGGTAGATGAAGAGATAAGTTATTCAAATTTTCAATTTTTTTTTAATATGATTATGATGTTAATCAAAGGGTCATTTTAGTGTATAACCAAAAAAAAAGTAAGTAAAAATGGGGTATATGGCAAAATCATGACTATTGGATGTGGAAGTTTTAGTTAGTTTTTAGATTATAATTTTTTGTGTTATTTTTGCCAATTTCCCTAATCAAATTATTTTTTTTAGAAAAAAAATTTGTAACTATTAATTTTTTATGCTGTTAATTAAAATTTATTCTGCTATAGAGCTCCTAAATATTCCAATCAGTACGTCTTCTTGAATCTATTTCGATGTTTAGTGAAAACAAATAGCTAATATCGTTAGCCAATCCATAATAATTACATACACTGGATTCGTCACTATCGATACTTGAATCTATTACTTTTGATTATAGAGCTCCTAATTATGTACTTTTAATTTCTTATGCTGTTAATTAAATTATTTATAAAATAAATATTTACTCTTTTTTCATACAGAAAACAAAAATCTACAAAATAAATATTTTATTATTTTTCCACTTTAAAGACTATTATGGCGACTATAGGACCACCGAACTCCCTTACAAGATTATGGTTATTCAAACAACGGTCATCAAAATGGTTGATGAATCACCAAAACCATTTCCGAAAAAATATTTCGCCGACTTTCAAGACATTAAGGGTGGATCTCTAAACAAGGATGTCTTGATTGGTAATGTTATCCCTACTTATTTAACTAATTCATTTACTAATTCCTACTTTGATTTTTTAAATTTAATGTGTCATTTATAATCACAATGCAGATGTTGTAGCTCAAATACTGAATGTTGAACTTATCAAAAACTTAAAATCTCAGAGAAAGAATATCACAAACACAAAGGTGGAAATCTTGCTACGAGATACACTGTAAGTAATATATATTTTTAAGAAATTTATAAATATTGAAGAGTCTCGACAATAGAATGTTCAAAGTGCTATACAGTAACACGTGGGAACAGAATAAGGTACTAAGAACATAATCAATGGTAGTTTGTTAATTTGGGATTCTAAGTTATTTTTTTATTATAAATTGTTTTTGGGGTTCTAAATCTCTAAAATTTGGGGTTCTAAATCTTTAAAAAAAAAATCTCTATAATTAGAACTTTTTATTAGAGTTCTAAGTATTTTGTGTATTATTTAATTGTTTTTAATCTTTTAGAAATCTATTAAAAACTACTAAACACTACTATTGATTATGCTCTAAGTGTG